TATATATATATATGAATATATATATATATATATGAATATATATATATATATATATATATATAAATATAAAAAAATTAGAAAAGTTTGGGGGAGTCGTGGCTCCCCCTTGTCACTACCAAGATCCGCCACTGTTGAGAATGACGATAGTGTTATTATGTTGTAAGTTGAAATGAATGTTAAGATGTATAGTATATACATATGTTGTTTTTCTCAAGTGTTTAGGGAAGGGATAGGCTGGGAGGTAGCTACTAGAGGCCACAGGAGGTGCCTGAAGATGGATATTATTTTTTTATAGGCTACCTTATAGTAGCAGATTTTCTTGTATATAACTAGTTTGTTGCTTGATTAGCAACTTGTGTTGTAAATATTTATTATACTATTTTAGTATATTTTCGAGCAGTATGTAGTGTTGTTCCGTAGTGTGACGGCCACGGTGGGTCATTACACTTTTATGGTATCAGAGCAGTTCGAGTCTAGTGGACACTCTATGGGGTGGTCCCTTTAGGCTTTTGTTGCGTTGAACTCTGTGTTGTGTTGGATGTTGTGCTACTTTGTGTTGAGTAGTTGAGATATAGTGTATTGAATGAGTTGTTCATTTTATAGAAAATGCTTAGAACATGAGCGGATAGTCCATGCCATGGAGATGATGGCTATAGCTATGCAACAGCAGAATATGGCTATAGAAAATGCCATGAACATGAGCTATGCCTACTCATGACTTAGAGTTGGCAGTAATTGTTTTTGCCTTAAAGGTATGGATGTACTATTTTCATAGTGCAGGATTTAACGTCTTTGGTGATTACAAGAGTTGAAGTACTTGCTTGATCAGAAGGAGTTAAACATGAGACAGAGACAGCAGATGGAATATTTTAAAAGATTATGAATTCAGTTGATGTATCACCCAAGGAAGGCCAATGTAGTGGCAGACGCTTTGAGTAGGAAGTCCATCCACATATCTAGTTTGATGGTGAAGGAGTTGGAGCTGGTTGAGAAATTCAGAGATTTGAATCTGTATGTGGAGTTGGCTCAAGACCACATTAGCTGTGGCATGATTACCATTGCTAGTGAGTTCTTGTAGCAAGTTGGTATGAAGTAGTTGTAAGATTCGAAAGTTGTGAAGGTTCTTAAATTTTTGGATACAGAGAAAGTAGTTGGCTTTGAGATGAGTGAAGATGGGATTTGAGGTTTAAGGGTAAATTTGCCTACCTCAAGATTCTGAGTATAGAGAGACATTGTTGAATATACGGCGTCCTGTCTGACCTGTCAGAAGGCTAAGGTTGGGCACCTGAAGTCTGGTAGTTTAATTGTAGATGATGGAGATCCTGTAGTGAAAGTTGGATAATATCACTATGGATTTCATTGATGGATTGCCTAAGTCGACTAGGAATAGTGATGCTATTTGAGTTGTGGTTGACAGATTGACCAAGTGTGCACATTTCTTGCCTATCAATATCAAGTGATCTTTGGAGAAGTTGACACAGTTGTATGTGAAGGGAATTGTATGGTTGCATGGGGTGCCTTCCAGTATTATTTTAGATAGGGATCCGAGGTTCACTTCTAGATTTTTGGCAGAGTCTACACCAAGCCTTAGGCACGAGGTTAAGGTTGAGTTCTGCTTATCATCCACAGACGGATGGTCAGTCAGAGAGGACAATTCAGTCCTTGGAGGTTTTGCTGAGAGCTTGTGTGCTAGACCACTTGGAGAGAGTTGGGAGGAAGTCCTACTACTGGTGGAGTTCATGTACAATAATAGCTTTCATGCAAGTATTGGGATTTGAAGCATTGCATGGTAGGAAGTGTAGGACTCCTCTGTGCTGGTATCAAAGATGGTGAGTCGGTAGTCGCAGGGCTAGAGTTACTTTATAAACTATTGAGGAGGTGAAGTTGATTCAAGAAAGGATGAGGTTGCTTAGAGTAGGCAGAAATCATAAGTTGATAGAAGGCACACTACAAGAAAATGATGATTTTGCGACGGTTATGTGGCCTACATTGCGACGGTTACAACTGCCGCAAAGACAACACTGCGACGGTTTGGGAACCGTCGCAGAGTTGTCCGTCCCCAGCCAATTTTGCGACGGTTATTAAAATCGTTGCACAAACCGTCGCAAAATTTGAATTGCGACCCTTTCATCAACTGTCGCACGAAATGCCTCGAAATTAATATTACGACCCTTGATGTACTTGTCGCACGAACTACCTCTAAATTAATATTACGACCCTTTTTCTACCTGTCGCACGAAATGCCTCTAAATTAATATTACGACCCTTGATATACTCGTCGCACGAACTGCCTCTACATTAACATTGCGACCCCTCACTTAACCATCGCACAAACTGCCTCTGTATTATCATTGCGACAGTTATTTAGATGACATGATATTTAATATTTATTTTTTAAAAATAAATTTTATATAATTTTTTAAAATTAATTTATTCTTTAACTATTGCAATTATTTTCTAAAAATTAATTTATACTTTTAAATAAATTTCATATCACTTTTTAAAAATACATCAGTCGTTATTTATTTTATTTTATAAATATTTTGTATCACAATTTAATAGAGGTTAATGCATACTTATATTAATATTATATATTTCAATACAAGTAAACATTAATTAAATTACAATTTAGGAATTATTATAATAATATATACAACAATCATTTTATATATTTTTTGTTATAATACTTGTCTAACTATTATTTTTATTTAAACTGTAATACTAAACAAAAATAAATAACATAAGCTAATAATAAAATAAAATAAAATTCATAAACATATAGAGTATTAAATTATGCTTCTCATACAACATTAAACAAATTCAAATAAAACACAGAAGTATGTATTTAAATTTCTTAATTAGAGTGCATAAATTAAAAACAAAAAAATAAACTAAACAGTGCTAGGTGAATCTAAGTCATGGCCTTCAGGAATATGACTCCCTTTAGAGGAAGACTTTCCATTTCCGGGTGATTCCAAGTCAGGTTCCTGGAACAAAATAAAAAATTAATAAAAATAAGTAAAAATCAAAAGCATACTAGTGTCAACATTTATCAAGTATATTCAATTTTTCCACCTCTCACTGTGAGTACAAAATAAGCAGCAACATACACTACAATTCATCAAGCATTATAACAATACCATCAACCATTATAATTCCAAAGCCTTCAATCACACCATAAACCTCCCCAGAATGCAATACCACTAATAACCCATTAAACATAAGAATACTCAAAATTCTTATAAATATAAGTTACCCATTTTAATGTAGACAAAATTACAATCATACACCACATCTCTACAATGCCACTTCTTGAAACAACATCGTTTACAAGGGCAAATAAGTTTGCCATTAGCAAAGTTATGCTCAAGGGCAAAATCAATGAATTCCCTAACCCCTTTCTCATATTCACTAGAGTTTTGTGGCTTCATAATCCATGACTTGTCCATTACTTTAGCATTTCAATTCTCTACACAATAATGAAGGGATATTTAACTAAGAAAAATTCTCATTACACAAAATAAAAGACAATGAATTTATCTACCTTACACACATCACTAATTTAATGAGATAATTGTTTGCATACCATTGTTAGATGAGAAATTATAACAACACAAATTGAAAAAGTCAAGTTAGAGATGAACAACAAAATGATATTTACATGATTCTTATATTGCCTCATGAATTTTTTTAATTTCTAAAATTCAAGTTAGAATCTTTTTGAGGCACTAAAAGATGAAAGTCAAAGAAAATTATGTTTAGAGGTTGAAATAGATGGAGTGAATGAATTCAAATCCAATACTATAATTAATGTTTCTCAAACTAATGGTAAACAAAATTGTTGTTAATATGTTCGGTGGGTACCTTCCATTACATCCCATTCATGCATGTAAAACAATATTGGGGAGAAATTCATATATAGTTTCATAGCATACATTAATTATAATGTCTAAACCTTAAAATAAAGATGTTGTACAGCTAACAAAAATTGGAATAAGATCTAGTATTCATAAATATAATAAACTAACATAGAATTGAATGTGTAAAATGTTGGTAGCCTGACCTCTTAATAACTGCAAGTTATGTTGGCGATAAAATGTGTTGAGAGTGAGTTCTTGTTGTTGATTAAGAGAGAGCAAATGAATGAATTGAGTTGCCTATCCTTTTCAGTCAATCTAACTTGCCTAATAGAAGGGGGAAAGAAAGAAATGTGTAAGTAAATTTCAAATTGATATTACAGACTAGGGATAAATGAAAGAATAGAGAATTTCCCGTCTATGCTTCCATTTAGTTATGCCTCTTAGATTTGTCTGTAGCAATAAAAATGACAAATATCTCAAACTGTTAATCACAAAGAGACAAGTCATCATTTAGTTGACTATTTTTGTTACTTGTCAAGTATAATTACACTATAGTATTACAATATAAAGCATGCACGATATTTCAGCAACAAAACAAATATTTATAAATTTATCAACACTTTGATCAATCCCTTAGGTGTATATGTCAAGGTAGGGATGGATGTATGTGTTCTATTAGGGAGCCATAAGCCCCCTGAATTTTTTTAATTTATAAAATTGTTAAAACTTGCACATTTCAACTAATAAAAACTATCAACAAACACAAATATAAAAAATTGTTGAAATTTTTAATATTTATTTAATCATAGATGACTTTCGTGATATAAAAGATAAACATTTTGTATTTTGATGAACTCTGTTAATGTACTTAGCATTTTGAAACAATTAAATATAAATATTTTTGTTTAAATTTAATGTGCATATATTTGATAAAAAAAATTCTTTTTAAAGTTGTTTTGAAATCTGGCTTCGTCCTAGTATCAAACTATTTTTAATCTAAAACCAATGTGAACACAAGAAAAAATATTCATTTGTTAATTAATGTAAGTAGCATTATATAATCATATTGCACAATAGCATCACGTAATCACACTATATCAAGATAAAGAAAAAAACATATATTACTATATCTAAACCTTAAAGTTAGAATTTGAATATTACCACCATTTACAGAAACTAAAAATTCAATTATGGAAAATATTGAAATTAGAAGGATGTGATGCACGTGACTCACAATGCATTCAAATGTTGAATCAATATCCAATGTTTCCAATACTATAGCACACGGGTGATTTGAGGGGATAGAAATATTTAGTAGATACATTAGGATAAAATACTCATCACAAATTACACTATGTATGAATCACAAAAAATATATGTTCAAGATATAATCAAGTGGTTACAAGTTGAATAACTTTTTCAATTCATCATGAAACCACCCAAAACAAGTGAAATCACTTAAGACACCTCAAAACAAAAAGAAAGAAGAAAAAAATCCACAATTCAACAATATCAACTATGACTTTATTAAGATTTTATCCATATTTATTACAATAATAAGGTAGTTTCATATTGAAGGTGTGAACTTGTAAAATATGAATTCAATATTTTATTTCAAAACTAGAAGCTAAGCATCTGTTAAAACCTCAATAAACAATGAAATAATAAATGGTAAAACACAAATGATGCAGTAAAAAAAGGAATAATAGTATAAATTTCATCAGAATATTGTGTTTGATTATTAATCCAAAATAAACTAGTATAACCACATATTTGTTAAAACTTGGATTAACTGAATGCCAAAATACGACAATATTTATTGGGTTAGCAAATCTTATCTCTTATGTTATTGGAAATTTAAGTATTTTAATTAGATTCTTCTCTGGCATCTACAAGTACAATGCCAGTTGCACCTTTTTCTTACCTAGAGTCCACCTATTACAAAGGTAATAATAATGCCAGATAGCATAACAGAGTGGCCACTGGGCAATACAACCAAGTGTGGCATTTTTAGCTGTCATAGTCATTTTCACCCACCCTCACTAAAGACAACCTACAAAGATACAAAATGTCTAACTGAACAGTCAGACAAAGACCAAAGAGAAAAATAGGCTTAATTAGCAAAATTAAATTTTGTTGCATTATTCACAGCCAAATTTTCCAGCACCAACCAGAATCTAACAATGTATAGCCAACCAGAATCTAAAAATGTATATACTTCAAACAAACTCATGCTTATCAAATCTTGAATTTTACTAGCATTTATTAATAAGTAAAAAAACTAAAATTTAAAGGAAAAAGAATAAAACCTTGTGAACGGTGATTTAGTTGGGGCGAATAAGGGTTAATGAACGGGACCAAGATCGAGTTCAAAGAGTGAACCGTACAATGAAGCCACTTGTTTGAGTTGACTCAAGGTTTTTTCTACGCTTGTCCAAGGAAAGACGTGCAAAGGATTGAACCTTAATCTTGAAATAAAGCGAAAATCAATCACAGATACAACCCAAAATCAAAATGTGCGCATGAGTGAATGCGGAGGGAAATAAAGCGAAGAAAGAGAGAAACAAAAGTGAAAACTCATGAATATTTGAAATGTTGATGAACCCTTGCAGCAATTCCTTCAAGGAGAATGAAATTTACGAGCCCTTGTAATGGGGTTGAGAGTTAGGTTAGAATGAAATTGGGGAAAAGAAAGAATAGCGGTAAAAAAGACTATCTAACCCGCGCAACCTCTTTTTCCATGGGTAAATTAATTTTAAAATTATATTTTTATTTTTTAAATTACGACGGTTTACCCTAAACTGTCGCAATATAGGAAAATTTTGCGACAGTTGGCAGAAACCGTCGCATGAAGGGTCGCAATATCAAAGCAACGACGGTTTTACGAAAACCGTCGCAATCTGTCCGTCGCAATTCATCATCTTCCTTGTAGTGGCAAAGGCCTTTGGAGTTTTCTGAGAGGGGCATGTGTTTCATGTTTCTCAGTTAAGGAAGTATGTCCATGACCCAAGTCATGTAGTTGAGATGGGTGAGATTCAGGTCAAGGAGAACCTGACTTAGGAGAAGAGACCGGTAGTTGTGATTGAGTACAAGTTGAAGGAGTTAAGTGGCAAGTCCACTGGATTGGTGAAGATCTTGTGGGATGCAATTACTGGTGAGACTACTTGGGAGATTGAGCAACTGTGTAGAAAGTAATATTTTTTCTTTATTTCCAAGTAAGTTTATTTTCGGGGATGAAAATTCCTTTTTGTTGGGAGGTATTGTAACGTAGTAAATTATTTTAGAAGGCTCAGTATGGGTGATTCAGTAGTCCAGAACGGGCCGTTCCCAAACTGGAACGGGTCGTTCCAAACTACTGAATTGACCTATAAAACGTAGTTAAGAACGGACCGTTCTGGAGGGAGAACGGGCTGTTCCAAACCCCAAAACGAACCGTTCCGGAGGGAGTACGGGCCGTTCTGGATGGAGAACGGGCCGTTCTGGATGAGTCCCAGAACGGGCCATTCTGATTTCAAAACGGGCCGTTCTACATGTAAATTTTGTACTTGGTGAAAGAGTGCAGAACGGGCCGTTCCAGATTCAGAACAGGCCGTTCTGGCCACTCTGGAACTTCTATAAATAGGGGTTGGTGGTTGAGGAGAAAGGGAGGTTTTTAGAGAGAAGTTTTAGAGAGAAGTTTTAGCGAGAAGGACTTTGGACTAAGAAGCTTGCTTTGGGTGGATTGAAGTTCCGGGTTGAGCTTCGGAAAGGGAATTCCGCTTCTTGGCTATCCTGAGCCAATCTTCAGGTAAGGGAAGCTAGATTGTAAAGTTGTTGGTTGTATGTGAGTTGGGAACTCCTTTGGGTACTTAGGTTGATTAGTATGAGTTATTTTAGGTGATGAAAATATTGTGTGTTGCTAATATATGATTAAATATTTATTAATGATGTTGTTGGAGATGCATGTTGTAGTTAAGTTGTGAAGTTGTTTACAAGTTGTGTGTTGATCTATGATATTGTTGAAATTAGTTGAAATTAAGTTGAAAAGGTTGTTATATGTGTGAACATGTTTACGTTGTGAAGTATGATGAGATGTTATTATTAGACTGTGTTGTCAAGTTGTTAGAGGAGAGTTGTATGTTGCTAAAAAGTTGCTATGTTGTTTAAAGTTGTTAAAGTTGAGATTGATGACTATAGTTGTTTATTGCTGTAAAGTTGTTAAGTTTCTTATTGTTGTGAAGTTGTTAAGTTCCTATTGCTGTAAAGTTGTTAAGTTGTTTATTGTTGTAAAGTTGTTAAGGTGCCTATTGCTGTAAAGTTGTGCCTATTGCTGTAAAGTTGTTAAGTTGTTTATTGTTGTAAAGTTGTTAAGTTGCCTATTGCTGTAAAGTTGTTAAGATGCCTATTGCTGTAAAGCTGTGTTGTTGAGTTGTAAGTTGATTAAGCTATGATGATAAGTTGTTGATCACTAGGACTAGGGGAGATGTTTTCGAAGTTGCTCATCCCATTGTGTGGATTGAGATAGTTGTGGTGCTCTGAGAGCCCAATTTGTTGAAAAACCCTCCTTGGAGTAGTCGTTGTGTTGTTCTCCTCTAGGACTTAGTTGATCCCGTGTGTGGGCAAGGTCGAGGCACACGTGTAGAAAGTGACCACAGTATAGGGGCAAGGTCGAGCTATACCGATTATAAAGCGACCACGATATAGGGGCAAGGTCGAGCTATACTGATTACAAAGCGACTACGGTATAGGGGTCAGGTCGACCTATACCGATTACAAGTGGCCAATTTGAGTAAATTACGAAGTCGGGAACTTAGTTCCTAACCGAGTACTATACTTCCTTGTTTAAGTGGAAAAGTGTAAGAAACCATTATCGTGTTGTGGATTGATATCCAAATTTGTTGTGTTGTCAGTTCGGTAGGACCTAGCCACTTAGACTACTTACCATGTTGTAGGAGATCTCCGAGTCGAAATGCGTGACGACGCATAAGTTGTTGATGAGTTGATTTGTTGTTGATATGAGTTGTATATTTGTTGTTATGTTGTTAAGCTGTGATTGTGTTGTATGTTGACCTTATTGAGAATGAAGATAGTGTTGTTATGTTGTAAGTTGAAATGAATGTTAAGATGTATAGTATATACATATGTTGTTTGTCTCAAGTGTCGAATGCGAAGATGATTATATAGTTGTTATGTTGAATATTAAATTATTATGAGTTGTTTATTGTCTCTAGCTTACCCTTGCATGTCTCCATGTGGTTTGGACTGCTATGATCATACGTGGTATGGGAGCAGGGCAGTGATAGGTTGGGAGGTAGCTGCTAGAGGCCACAGGAGGTGCCTGAAGATGGATATTATTTTTTTGTAGGCTACCTTATAGTAGCAGATTTTCTTGTATATAACTAATTGTTTGTTGCTTGATTAGCAACTTGTGTTGTAAATATTTATTATACTCTTTTAGTATATTTTCGAGCAGTATGTAGTGTTGTTCCGTAGTGTGACAACCACGGCGGGTCGTTACAGTTTTCGCTAATGTAGCTTTTTGTGTTTTTATGATTGTATATATATTGTTCATTCTCATTCAATAAAGCTTAGCAAATTGTTTTCTTTCTATCCGATTGCTATATTTCCTTATGGTATTAGAGCCTAGTTCCAATCCAAGGACATGTGGGTTATAGACCCACCACGTTTCTACTTCAATGAACTATTGCACCTATCTTCATTCTACTTCTGGAACACCTCTCAATGATACTTATGTATTTCGTCACTTGATTGGCCATCTCATATACCTCACTACAATGCATCTTGATATCATGCATGCGGTGTAACATTTGATTCAGTTTGTATCTCATCATACTTCAGCTCATTATCAAGTTGCTTTTAGGATTCTACATTATTTGAAAGGTACTCCACGTCAGGCATTTTCTTAGAAACTAATAGTACACTTCACTTCAAAGCTTTCAGTGATTTCGATTGGACAAGGTTCATTGGTTCTCAATGTTCTATAACCAATTTTTTGGTTTATTTGGGCTCGTCTTTAATATCATGATGTTCGAAGAAACAATCAACATTCTTTTGGAGTCCTTCTAAAGCTGAGTATCGTGATTTGGCTTCAACGATGTGCGATATTCAGTGGCTTACTTACTTGCTCAAAGATTTTTGTGTTCCCTTCATTCGTTTGGCTTTGCTTTATTGTGACAATCAATCAGCATTACAAATAACATCTAATCAAGTTTTCCATGAAAGAACGAAGCATATTCAAATTGACTATCATATTGTGCATGACAAAATTCATGTTGGTCTTATTAAACTCTTACCCATTTCTTCTTCTCTCCAACTCATAGATACAAAGCCCTATTCCTAACAGTTTTTTGTGGGTTTTGTTCCAAGCTGGGAATGCTTAATATGCATTCCCAACTTGAGGAGGGATCTTAGTGATAGGTTGTTAGTTTATTTTCAGTTTGTTATTGTTGAGTTGTATCATAACAACTTTATGTTATTTTGTTTCCGATACTGCAACTTTACATGTTTTTATGATTGTATATATACTGTTCATTCTCATTCAATAAAGCTTAGCCAATTTCTTTCTTTCTATCTAATTGCTATATTTTGCGATGGTATCAAAGCCTAGTTCTGACTAATGGACTAGTGGGTTATGGGCCCTGTTGCAACCCGAAAATTTCTGATTTGCGACCTTTGGTTTAGACATCTTTTCGAAAATCTCATCAATTAAGGAATACCCCGACACCAGACTAATCCTTAATTAATGGTTTTGAAAAATGGTTCATGGAGTCGCCACCAATGTTTTACTCAAAACATTGGAAAAAGAAAAGGTTTTTAAAAGTCCAATAATGACCTTGATAACCAAAATTGAGTTCGGGGGTTGGTTACGTGTAGGGAAGGTATTAAGCACCCCTACAATGCCTGTTATCGGTACCCTTATGATGAAGTTAGCATAGTAAAAATAATAATATAAATACTTAATCCCCTTTATGAATGGTTATTTACATGCCTAAATTTAAATTAAGCGATTGACCCTAAAATGTCTACATATTTGCTTTTATTATAAAAAAAATTTAAAATAAAAGAAGTGAAAGATGGAGCAAGAGATTGATGGGAAATACCTTGTAGCAAGATTTATTAGATCTTCAACTATGGAGACTTTTAAGCGCTTTTTGGCTATCTTTCACACTACAATATGTCTCACAAAACTCAAGAAATACAATAGGAGGGAGAAAGAGAAATTTTGAGCTCTAAGGAGTCATGGATGAAATTTTTGTGGCCTTGAGAACTGTGCCCGTGTCTGCTATTTATAGGCATCAAAAAGTGGCCAGAACGGCCCGTTCCAAAATTAGAACTGCTTATTCTAGATCTAACCGTTTTGTGTTAATTTTGTAACTGGAACGGCCCAGTCCTAAAACCAGAACGACCCGTTCCAGAGGTGAGTTTAACACATAACCGTCTATGCTGGAACGACCCGTTTCAATTTAGGAACGACCCATTCCAAACTTAGGTTTTAGCCTTTTGTAGGAGTTTGGAATGACCCGTTCCAGTTTGGGAATGACCCATTCCAAACTAGGGTTTTAGGCCCTTTTTGTTACTTGGAACGACCCGTTTCAGTTTGGGAACGGCTCGTTCTAGTTTTGGAACAACCCGTTCCGAGCTACTAAAACCAGCTTATTTGGGCTTTAA